CCTCACCTACTCTGCCCCCCATCCCCCCTGTAACACACAGTCGGACATCTCTTCATCATCTTGGTCATTCACCTGTCACTCACTGCATTCTGTTGATTTTGCACATCCGTACTTTGCACACAACCCTATTCATGTTTACAGTGTACATATTTTTGATATTTTTTATATTACTATTATTATTGTTACAGGGTATATGCAGGAATCCTGAGGTTAATTTCATTACCTTTTTAAGACTTTTTTAAGACCTTCCAAAAATACCTTAAGACCTCATCGCCACTTCAAGCTGTTGTTAGCAGCAACGCATCTTTAACTTACTAAACAGTTGTAGTTTGCAATTAAATCTATGGAGCACAAACATACAACAGAACTCAGATAAGATGAAAAGGAATAAAGCTTGAAAGAATAAATTAAACCAAAGGCAGGTTTATTAAACGCCATTTAGCCAATGGCTACAATCCTACATATTTACATGCAAGTGTCTATTAATATGTACTGTCCCTGTTATTTAAAAAAAATAAAAAATAAAAAAAATAAATAAAATAAAATTAAAATACACCTTAGGTTATAACAAGTAACACAGCTCTACAGCTCAACATCAGCTATTCAAGGCCAACTTGCTGAAAACAACCTTATGGCTTCATGTGGGATTTAGGGCTGACCCAAAAAATTCGAAGCTTCGAAGCTTCGAAGCTTCGGTCGATGGTACGGGATTCGATTGTGAAAAAAAAAAAAATAATAATTGAATATTCTGCCGTTTTTTCTCCCGTTTTTTGGGGGGGACCTTGAACGCAACACTAATCATGCCGTCCGTTTACGGTTGTTTTTTTCCCCTTTAGCCATATGTAAACTCAAAGAACGAGAAGCAATGTCTGTTAGGCATATAAGATTTCATGTTCAAGTTCCAGTTTGTGTTTTTAATTGATTGATTGTTTCTGGTTGATTGACAAATAAAGGCCGGCCCCATTAGGCCAAGTAAAGAAGTCATCTGGTCTGATTGTTGCATGAATTGCCTAAAAAAGTTTCACAGTAATTCAGAAAACAGAGATATTATTATTGCCACGGGTTATTTGAAATGGACAAAGGTATTCTTTACTGGTGAGTTAAGGGAGAATAGCTATCATGTAATTAAAAAGAAAACATCTCCGACAAGAAAATAGAAATCCCGACGTGCAATGAATGGTAACCTATTATCCTACAGACGACTAAATTCTTTCAACAATGTGACTCAAAATAATGATAAAATAGATTTTATTGATGTAAAATAATATGCTGATGGTGACATTTTCCACCGGTCCACTGCGCTCTGAGTCTGGTGTCAGTGACACATGCTGCTCTGAGTCGCTCATCTGTCTGCTCGCGCTGCAGTGCGCCGAGGGTTTTAATTTTTAGTGTTAAATCAAAAGTTAAACACTACTTATCAGCAAGCAGAAGTGTTTTTTCGTTTGTGAATATTTTTATCTTAATTCTAGAGTTGCAAGAAACTACTTTTTCACCATAAATTGTAACACACACACACACACACACCCGATGGCAGTCCGAGTGTGCCTACCTACACATCGTTGTTTGTAATAGTCACGAGGAGGAAAATAAATTATACATTCATGGATACTTTTTGTCAAAGCTAGAAAATGCAATACTTCATAAAATCGCGATTAAGACTTTAATACTTTTTAATGCCCTTAATTTTCCGACATTTGATTTATCAACTTTTAATACTTTTTAATACCCCGTGGACACCCTGTGTTATTTGCATTCAGATTTTATATTTATTTGTTTATAGTATTTCCTTTTTATATGCATGCTTCTAATTACTCTATATTTTTTATATATTTTATATTCAGTGTTACATGCACCAAGCCAAATTCCTCGTATGTGAAAATCCTACTTGGCAATAAAACCGAGTCTGATTCTCATATGAATTCTTGAATAATGGCCAAAAACATATTTTGTGAGGTCATACTGACCTTTGACAACAAAATTTTAATCAGTTTATTCTTAAGTCCAAGTGGATGTGTCAAATTTTAAGAAATTTCATTAAGAGGTTCTGAGATATGGCATTCACGAGGATGAGACAGAAAAGGTCACAGTGACCTTGACATCTAACCACAGAAATCTAATCAGTTCATTGTTGAGTCCAAGTGGACTTTTGTGCCAAATTTTAAGAAATTCCCTCAAAGTATTCTTGAGATATCGCGTTCATGAAAATGAGACAGACAAAGTCACAGTGATCTTGACCCTTGACCACCATAATCTAATCAGTTTATTGTTGAGTCCAAGTGGACATTTTTGCCGAATTTGAAGAAATTCCCTTGGGGCGTTCTTGAGATATGGGATGGATAGACAACCCGAAAACATAGAAACAAATAGAAATAACAAAACACCAGAATCAAATAAAAACTGAGTCAAGTGTCTAATGGAGGTTAGTAAATGTCAGAGCAGAGACTAAATATGTGGTGAAAGTCCTACAACCTTTCAGCACAGCAGAATCTCTGTTTCATGTTTGGTACTGATTAGGGCTGTCAAAAAAAATTCGAAGTTCAATATACACTGAACAAAAATATAAACGCAACACTTTTGTTTTTGCTCCCATTTTTCATGAGCTGATCAAAGATCTAAAACATTTTCTATACACACAAAAGACCATTTCCCTCAAAAATTGTTCACAAATCTGTCTAAATCTGTGTTAGTGAGCACTTCTCCTTTGGCGAGATAATCAATCCCACCTCACAGGTGTGGCATATCAAGATGCTGATTAGACAGCATGATTATTGCACAGGTGTGCCTTGGGCTGGCCACAATAAAAGGCCACTCTAAAATGTTCAGTTTCATCACACAGCACAATGCCACAGATGTCGCAAGTTTTGAGGGAGTGTGCAATTGGCATGCTGACTGCAGGAATGTCCAACAGAGCTGTTGCCAGTGAATTGAATGTTCATTTCTCTACCATAAGCCGTCTCCAAAGGCGTTTCAGACAATTTGGCAGTACATCCAACCAGCCTCACAACAGCAGACCACGTGTAACCACACCAGCCCAGGACCTCCACATCCAGCATTTTCACCTCCAAGATCGTCTGAGACCAGCCACCCGGACAGCTGCTGCAACAATTGGTTTGCATAACCAAAGAATTTCTCCTCATCGGGGTCTCGACCTGACTGCAGTTCGTCGTAGTAACCGACTTGAGTGGGCAAATGCTCACATTCGATGGCGTCTGGCACGTTGGAGAGGTGTTCTCTTCACGGATGAATCCTGGTTTTCACTGTTCAGGGCAGATGGCAGACAGCGTGTGTGGCGTCATGTGGGTGAGCGGTTTGCTGATGTCAACGTTGTGGATCGAGTGGCCCATGGTGGCGGTGGGGTTATGGTATGGGCAGGCGTATGTTATGGACAACGTACACAGGTGCATTTTATTGATGGCATTTTGAATGCACAGAGATACGGTGACGAGATCCTGAGGCCCATTGTTGTGCCATTCATCCAGGACCATCACCTCATGTTGCAGCATGATAATGCACGGCCCCATGTTGCAAGGATCTGTACACAATTCCTGGAAGCTGAAAACATCCCAATTCTTGCATGGCCAGCATACTCACCGGACATGTCACCCATTGAGCATGTTTGGGATGCTCTTGATCGCTGTATACGACAGCGTGTTCCAGTTCCTGCCAATATCCAGCAACTTCACACAGCCATTGAAGAGGAGTGGACCAACATTTCACAGGCCACAATCAACAACCTGATCAACTCTATGCGAAGGAGATGTGTTGCACTGCGTGAGGCAAATAGTGGTCACACCAGATACTGACTGGTTTTCTGACCCCCCCAATAAAGCAAAACTGCACATTTCAGAGTGGCCTTTTATTGTGGCCAGCCTAAGGCACACCTGTGCAATATTCATGCTGTCTAATCAGCATCTTGATATGCCACACCTGTGAGGTGGGATGGATTATCTCGGCAAAGGAGAAGTGCTCACTAACACAGATTTAGACAGATTTGTGAACAATATTTGTGAGAAATGGTCTTTTGTGTATATAGAAAATGTTTTAGATCTTTGAGTTCAGCTCATGAAAAATGGGAGCAAAAACAAAAGTGTTGCGTTTATATTTTTGTTCAGTGTATATACGAATATATATATTTTTCATAAGTTCGAACCTAAATTTGATCATTCGAATATCATTAATAATTCATTAATACTATTAATAACGTCGTATATCACAGCGAACCCCGTATGGGCAGAAATGGCTCGCCCACAAGCAGGGCCAGAGATGGACGCCGACCCCCAAATTCCATCAGATGCGTGTTGGTTGCGTCTGTGCACGCAGCAGATAACTAGCGCAACAGACTCGCATCCAGTGGAATTCCGGCGAGAGACGGAGGGAGAGGCACGGACGGAGGAGCCCGCTGCGCCAACAGCACCCACTGCGCTGTCCACGATGTGTGACCTGTTCAGGGAGACATACAGGGAGAGTGGTGCACCTGCTGCCTCCCTGCCTACCCTTTATGAAGAAGAGATGAAACGTTCATCCACTCTTGTGGTGGAAAACTACAGGTGCACTGAAGTATCCAAACATTGCGGTCAGAACGGGTGTTTTCATCCGAGTGTCACGTTCATATTGCACCAGCAATAAGCATCTTATTTATATTTGTGTTTTGTTTTTTTTGTTCTTTTTTTAAATAACAATAATAATAATAATAATAAATAATAATAATAATAATAAATTAATTTAAAAAATTAATAATAAATTTGAATATTAGTCAAACTCTACTAAATTAATTCGAAAATATTCAAACTCAATTTCATGGTGCTTTTGACAGCGCTAGTACTGATTGTAAAATCAGTTCAGTGTCTTCAGTTCAACAAACAAGCTCCAAAGATTTGAAGTAGGGTTCAAAAGGATCCAGAGTCAATAAGCAGATTCAAAACTAGATTTAGATTCAATGAAATACTATCAAACCCTAACCCTTAGTGTTCGGGGTGGGGTTTGTGACAGTGCTATCTTACCGCCAGGCCTGAGGATGGGTCGATAAAGTCAGCCCAGAATCCTTCCCCCTGCAGAGCGTAGCAGATCTCCTTTGCTCCATCAATAAACTGCAAAGCACAGAAACAACTCAAGGCCCAGATACACCAAACAAACGTCAAATAACTAGCAGTGATGAAAGCCCCCTGCTGCGTTGCCTGACGTCACCATGTCTCAGTCAAAGAGTTGCACATGAACTTACTGCAAAGACTACAGCTGAGAGTCAGCCAGCACGTACGTTCTGCACCTGCGTCATAGGAAATACTGTAACTCTCCACACCACAAGCCGGGGGGATTCATCATTAAAAAAGAGAAACCGGACGAACATCTTGCAGCTAGTTAGCCAGTTAGCGCATTAGCAAAACAATCCAATGCTGATATTGGATTTTACTGTGCGCTGGTGAACAATAGCACAAACCATCAGGAAACGTTTCTGCTTAAGAGCTCAGTGGCTAAAGAAAAATAATCTGCCTTTACAGATTAAGTTTGTTTTGGTCTCACTCTCTCTTGACTTTAGCTCTTTGTTTACTTCCCTTTCCTTGAGTTGAGTTTTCATCAGCTTAGTGTGTCAGGGCCTTTAGTCTCACTTAGTGGTTCACTATTCATTCATCATTCATTCATCATTCATCAAATTGTGAATTCAAACAATTAGTCATTTTCTGCTGGCATCTTAAATCTCATTATAAGCGCCTGATGCTAGGTTTGCACTGGACCCAGAAGAAGCTACAAGCTTTGCAGCTACAGTTTCAGCATCTGTTATACAGATTTAAGATTGGCGCAAATGCATCAATCGGTGAAGCTCTCACACATATTCAGTGTTTTAGAATAACTGATGGTGCTTTCATATTTTTTCCTCAATGATACCAATTTCCATGTGCACATACAGTATGTCATCTAGACTAAAATTACATAAAGAAATCTGATGATGTTAAACACTTTATTACAAATTTATTTTACATGAAGCAATAATGTTGCTGCTGTAGTGGCCAAAGGCTCTCATCCTGCCATATGGTTATCCGATGTCACCATCTGCTGGTCAAAACAACTGTTCCACAGCAGCTTCATCACTGCTACATATGACCTAACTGCACAGCAGCTTACCTTATCAAGCATCTGCTCTCTCTCCTGTTCCACCTCAGCACACCATGAGGTCATATCATTCTGGGTCTTTTGGGTCACTGTGACCACCATCATACCAGAGGATGGAGCCTCAGGAAACATGGAGTGGAAATCTGTTCATCACATCAACAAGAATCACACATCAGACAGTAACACTGCTTTTCATCAGCAGGAAAAGAAACACTTACACCTGAATCACACTGCCAGCGTGAGCAGCACCCCTGTGTTGCGCAACCTCTAGAGGTTTAGCAGCTACACTGCCCGTGTGAGCAGCGGTACTGAGGCACAGCCTGGCTGCTGCTCAGCTGAGGAACATCAAGAGAATAGGAGGCGCGCCTATTTTTTCTGCATGATGTACATAGTTTTCCTAAAAAATAGACAGTGAAAATGGTCTTTTGATAATCATATTGATATTATACCAACTTGACTACAGTTTCAATGTCTAGATCTGTCACAGACATGAAAAAAATATTTCTTTTTAACTCAACACTTCCTATCTCCATTTCTGAATAAAAGCCCTCTGGCAGCATTTCTGTGGAAAGACTTTCTTCATTTTTAGCACAAGGCTTTGTATTGTGAAATATTTGGAGTGCCAGCTTTTAACTATGGAAATACAGTAATTACAGCAGCATGCAGCTCTGCGGCTGTGCTGCAGCAACAACACTGTCAGTGTTAACACTGCACACGTGCCAGCCATAGCACTTCAGCAAGGTTGCCGTCACACGCTGCTCACACAGGCAGTGCGGCCCAGGTAGTAATTATTTTGCTCTCCTTCCGGTGGACAGAAAGAGAATCACAAACACTTGTATTATGAAGCCCTTTACCAGCAGAGACACATTCACAAAACTGTTCATTAAGCACCACATCAAAAATAGATACAAATTCAAAAAGAAAACACAGAAAATTAACACAATGGATAATTGTGTGAACTCTGTATCTGTACTGTACCTTTCTTCAGTAGCTCGGGGCAGGACTGTATGGCACACTCCAGAGTGGAGTTATCAAAATACTGTGTAGCTCTATTGACATTCTGAGACGAGGCTGGGTCATCTTTCTCCTGACACACAAACACATATGCACACACAAAAACAGACATAAAAAAAATCAACTCCAGTTTGCAAAAAGGTTTCACTACTTAGGAGTCTACTGACGTGACTGACTGTTTTCCGATTATTAGTCAGACTCCATGTATTTCCATAGAATAACATATAAATAACAATAAAGTGTTTTTTTTAATTTGAGAGCTAACTGATCCACAATATGAATAAATTTGGATTGTATCTTTATTGTTGGTAACTGTTGTATAATCACAATGTTACACCTGAGGGCTTGCTTTATCGTCATCAGTGGCACCATATGTAATATTACTTAAATCAGAGATGACAGCAGTGATGTTCAGTTTTTTCTGACTCACTCATTAATCCTTCCATGTGGATGCAATAGCAGAGCTTGGCCAGCAGATGTCACCACTGTGATGATATCAATGCTTTGACACAAGTGGTTCAGTGCTCCATTACTACTAGCAGTACCTGAACTAACCTACAATTTACTGAAGTTAAGACTGAAGGCTTTTGAATTATATTGTATTAGCCCATTAACCAGAGACGGCTGGTATAAATGGGCTAGGTGGGCTAAGCCCTGCCTATCTTTTACAATAAAGACGAGAAAATTATTAAATTAAATATTAAAATAATAGGTATTGAACCTTAGAACTGATTGTTTTTGGTGGAACCTATAGCAGCAACAGCACTAAAAAAGTCACAGAGCTGATTTTTTACAGCCCATACTCCTAGAATCAGCTTTCAATCGTTGTTGTCACATCGTGAGTGACAGGTGTCGTGACAAGCCCGTTGATTTACTGTCCAGTTGGGCTAAATTAATTCAGCCCAGGCCACTGACTTTTGGCCAATGACAGTGCGTGGAAGTACAGTGAGGGCCTACCCGCTGTTACTGTAGTGGGACAGTGAGCATTGAGTGTTGCGAATTGCGTTAGCATCATGCTGAACAAGGTGGATTATTTTAAATGCTGTCTATCAAGCGGGACCTCATCCAAAAATCGGACTTAAATGACTTGGCCCAGAAAGGCCGTCGATGTGAGCTTCTCTTCAAATAAGGTAGGCCCAAGTAGGGCTGGGCGGTATTCGCGGTGACGGTAACTTACCGCAGTAAACTTGAGCCGCGGTACTTCTTTTGTGGTTACTTTCATACCGCAGTACTCCGACTACGGCGGCAGCACGGGGCCCGGTGGCCGGCCTGCCTGTCTCATGCACCTCCCTTGCTACGTGATGGAGGTGGCCTGGCCGACCGCCCCCGCCCCAGGCCCGCGGGAGAAGGGGGCCCGGGAGCGGCCTTTTTAAATTGTTTTATTTAAGGTGTAAAAAATGAGAGAAGACGATACCACGATATCATACCGTTACCGCATCCCCCCAAAAATAATAACGTGATATTGATGTTAGGCCATACCACCCAGCCCTAGGCCCAAGCCCTAACCTCTTATTAAAGGAGCATTACTCCTTTCCTTTCTTTACCTTTCCTGTCTGTGTGTACAGCGGAAAATAGTCAGTGTGTGTGTGCTCGTGCGAGCGAGCCAGCGAGAGAGAGCTTTTGGCATCAGAACATTTTTGTAGTTAGCCTAATTCTCGAGTTTTGTTGTAGTGCATTGTTGCTGAGCTATTGATCAGTATAGGCCACAGGCCTATTGCGTTAGCCCTCCCACTGAATTTCACCACGAGCCACTACTGCCATTAACTATATGTTTTCATTTGTAGTAACGTAGGTGCAGATGCTTTCAGTCACCTCTCTGTCAGCTCCACTAAATGTGTGCTGAATTTGTGCTAAACTGTGCTAAATTTAGGCTCTTGAATCTATTTTCCAAGTGTTGGTGGTGCTTTTTGTGGTTGGCTTGGATGGTGTTGGCATGTGGCTGCGAGTCACTCATGCTGCTCATACCCAAAGGAACCAGATGTGGGGGTGTGTATAGATTGTTTTTCAGTTAATTTCTCATTCAATACAATTAGTTATAGTTAAATGAGCATTATCAGGGCATTACAGGTTAAGTGGTGACACAATATGAATTACAGTTGCTTGAGTGGGTTTCCCTTTTAATCTAAAGCAATTTCTTGTTCTCAGAAAAAGTGCTAATGTTAACATTATTACACTTACAAACAACTCTCCAATCATCTGGGCCAGAACAAACTCATGTCTCTCACTGCTGGATGGGGAAGAAAGCACATCAGGGACCATCTTGCGTGCTAGGCTCTTCTTCTGTTCTGCTACTCCTTCTAGGTGACAGTCAAAGCCCATGTTACCGGGCAGCTGGAAGCGATGGTCTTGGGGTCCAAAAGGCCCCATGCTCTCATCAGGCCACACTGTCCGAGGTCCTGAACCAGGGGGAAACCAATGGGAAAAGTACATGATGCATTAAAATTGAGGTTTCACATAATACAAATTCTTAAAGGCTCACCAAAATCAGAGAGTGAAAAGCTATATAACCCTACTAATGCTTTTGATACACGTTTCCAACCTTTGTGTTCCTGCTAAAAAGGACTGCCCTTGTAAAGCATAATAAGACACACATAATGATCTAGACCCAGCTTCAACTTTTATATTTAATAATCAGCTCTAGCTTAGAAATATTACAATATACAACAAAAACCCATACCCATGTCAGAGGGAATGATGGCTACGTGAGGCTCATCAGAGCCTGAGGATCCAGCAGTAGAGAAGGCTCTGGCTCCAGCCACAAGATGCACCAATACATGAAGCCCTGGGAGGTAAGCAACCAGCCTGGCTCTGCTGCACAGCACCTGAACACAAACACATGTTGCTGATTCAACTGTATGATCATTTTGGATGATGTATAGTGGTGTCTTTGTGTCATGTTTGTGTGTGGAGGTGGCTGTAGCTCAGGAGGCAGAGCGGGTCATCCACAGAATGGCACTTTGATCTCCACCTCCTACTGTCTGCATGTAAAAGTATTCTTGGGCAAGATGCTGAACCCCAAATTCCTCCTGGGTGTCAAAGTGTGTGTTTTTTAATCCGCTCATTGACAGCAAGCCAGTGTCAGTAGGAGGGTCACTGCTGTGGATGTGTTTCCCTGTCTGAGTTTCTCCAGGAGTTGCAGACTTTAAAGAGTTAAGTCTGGCACTACAAACCCGACTGACTGACTGGTTAGTGATACTGTGAGTACCAGGTTGTAAATACATTTCTGTCATTGAACAAGAATATAGATGCTATTTTGTATTTTGATTTCCTGAGGATCTTCCTGTGAGGATCCATAAATTTCCTCAAGGGGAAATTCAATTTTTTTTTTTTTACTCTGTTGACATATACACTTGCACAAATGGGACCAATTAAATGGAGAGATGTCAGAGCGAGGGGGCTGCCATGGACAGGTGCCCAAAGCAGTTGGGGGTTTAGTGCCTTGCTCCAGGGCACCTCTGCAGTGCCCAGGAGGCGATCTGGCACCTCTCCAGCTACCAGTTCACACTACATATTTGGTGCGGATGGGGATTTGAACCGGACGACCCTCCAGTTCCCAAGCAAAGTCCCTTTGTACTGAGCAACTGCCACCCCAGCTTCATTAGATTGAACAGGTGTACCCAATTAAGTGGCCACTGAGTGCACATACACTTAGCTGCGAACTATGCTGAACCATCTCATGCACTCTTTTCATGCACTCAATTCTTTTCAATGTATAGAACTTTCATTCCCTGTGCAAATTAAGAAAAAGCATGTTGGGCGATTTTGGCCGATACTGGTAAGGTAAGGCCGATACTATCCGCATGTTAGCCAATTCCGATATTTCATTTTAAAGCCAATATCTGCCAATACCGATGACAGTATTATTCATGCATCCCTAAGATGTGTATGTGAGTTAAGAATATGTAAATGTTTCACATTGAAAACCAGCTACAACCCTAACACACTCACATTTATGTCTATGTCATACCATCTCGCTGCCTCTACACAACTACACACACTTGACTCACACTGGCCATCCTGGTGTGGCTGTTTTCTTGCAGTATCCAGTTCACCTATGTTTCTGAAAGAGTTGGAGATGAAACAGTTAGGAAGTGTTTCCCAATACATGTATTCTGACTACAAAATGTCACAACGTTGCCCAAGCAACTGTCACTCTTTCCAATAAATGTGAACGTTTTAGCTATAGTAATCTATCATAACGTCCAGTAGTTAATGTACGGAGTCACTAAGTTAAATGAATTGTGATTCACGTATATCATTCTGTCACAGGCCGTATAAATAAAGATACAATAACTGCTCTACCTCTCCAGGCCTCCCCTAAGTGTCCTCTAACGTCACTGAATCTGACGGGTCACAGGTTTGGGTCTAATACCGTTAAAGTTTTATCGAGTAACGTGACGTAAACGCTAGCTATTACTGTACCTTAGGCTAACAACGCAGCAGGAAAACGAACTTACCGAAGTTAACTCAAAACAGATGGTAGCGTTAGTTAGCGTCCATTTGAAGTGTCAGACACAACACGGGAAAACAAAGACACCAGGCCTCTCTCTGATAACGTCAAGTGATAGTTTTATTAGTCGGGCAGATGTTTCTGAAGACTGGACTCATCCAAATCTAGCATCAGCACAACCGCGGTGGCATAACTCCTCCATGACAGATTCACCTTGGATTCGCGCATGCGTTATTATGATGGAGGCTCATCTTCTTTCTGGATGGCGTTTGCCAAATAACTTAAGTTCGCATTACCGCCACCTACTGAGCGGAGTGTGGATGTTAATGGCTCTCTGGGTTTTACAGCAGCTTGCATCCTTAGTGTTGCACTACTTCCATTATCTGGAGTTAGTTAACTTCTACAATGTCCAGTTAAATTCTTTTCATCAGTCCTGTTGTCAGCAGGAAGCTGACCAGGCTCTCCTGCCTCGTTCACTCTCCCCACAGTTCAATAGGCTTATATCATCCATTCTTTCCATTCCTTCCTTCATATCCTTCCTCATTTTTGCATATGACATGTAAAGTACATGCTCTATGTTTTTTTTCTTTTTATTTGACAGGACAGGCTTAAGCGTTAAGTCTGTCTCTTCTGTCTGGCATTGTGTACACAAGAATTGTGGAGTTTGGTCCCCCTCCACAACTTGTTGTATATTGGAGGACAAGATTTAAAGGAGGAGAGAAAAAAACTTTATTTAAAAGGACAGACAGAAAAGGAATTTGGTTTAAACAGCTCACTTTTCTTAAAGATCCAGTGTCACATTTCCGCATTTTCACGTCGGCCACATTAGTATAGCCCAACTACACTGAGCAGTGGTTAGTTTGTTTTGGAGAGGAAGAGACCTCTGTGGATAATTCAGCCTCTGCTGAAAACCCTCTGAACAGCTGGATCTTATGGTATCAGAGGAAAAAGGTGACCACACATTAGCATGTTTTGAACTAGCTGTTTGTAGCGACATGCGAAACTGCATTGGAAATACATGGATTTTTTAGTGTGAAGCTAAGTTATTTAAGCAATTAGCCCCAAGAGGCCATGGTTTGCCGGCGATTTTTGTTGTGCCTAACAACACCCCTTAGCCGTGGTAAAATCAAGGCAAACCACGGCCTCACGGGGCTAATTGCTTTTATAAAACGGTTACTACATATACCTGGCTGGGTTTCATAAAATAAACACACATTAATAAGAGCTGCAATAATTTATTAATGAGAAATAATCATTCTTTCACTCTTCCGCCAAAGAAATACTTCCTCAACAAGCAACAGACGGACACAAATATACACAGGAGCTACAGAAACACAGTGGAAAGCATGCTTAAAGCTTATTAACATTTATCTGGGTTGACTATTTAGCTACATTTATCTGGATATCTCCATGTATTGTGCAATTGCTGAAGTAGTGTTCAATTATGTTAGCACTCCTCTTTGCTAGTACGGGGGTGTCTGACTCTGGACAGGTGCGTTTTAATTGCGCTGTGCCAGAAGCAAGGATGTTGCTCCAGGATTTTCTCTCATCGTAGTTTGGGCGCCAGTATGACTGCAGGGAGGATTCACATTTATACCCCGTTACTGACATAATTTCTCTTGCCTCTAGGCCAGCGTCAGAGAGTTTTGGTACAGTGGTGCTTCGCAGGCAGTGGTTGGTGTAGATGGTCTCGGTGCCGGTGTTGTATCGAGCTCTGTTTCCTCGTTGAGATTTGTTTCCCCTGGTCCCGCCCCCATCCGAAATGGCCCGAACGGAGTAGGAAGTAGGGCGAAGGAAGCGCGCGTTCACAAAAAGCTCGCCCCCGAGCTGTTGTGCTCGTACCACAGAGGCACTGTGGAGAGAGCTAAGGTTCAAAACTGACTTTTTTTTAGCGAGTTTTATCTGAAAATATTGTATTGTAGAAGTGAAATCCAAATTTCATGACTGTCTAGTTATATTTTTAAACTGGGACAACAGCACATATGTAACCCAGGTTAAAAATCAGCATTAAAAGATAGTTGTGTATTAAAAAAAACAAAAAAAAACAAAGATGTTTGGGTTAAAAACAGTAAATTCATGGTGAAAAAATCACTTCATTAAATACAGTGTTTTGGTTAATGATTAAAAACAGATGTTTTCCTGAAAGAAGAAATGGAATTGTAATAAAATGATTTATACAGAGCTTTCAGTCCCAGTTTGTCCATAGATATATATACACTGCCTGGCCAAAAAAAAAAGTCACCACCTGGATTTAACTAAGCAAATAGGTACGAGCCTCCTATTGGATAATTACTGCATGGGCGATTATCTTTCAGCTGGCAACAAGTTATTTAACCCCAACTGGTGCAATGAGTTGCTTCTCATTTCCTAAACAACCATGTCGAAAGACACATCCCGTGGTCGTGGAAAAGATGTTAGTCTGTTTGAGAAGGGTCAAATCATTGGCATGCATCAAGCAGAGAAAACATCTAAGGAG